TCATACCCCTAGTTGGAAGGAGATGATTCCCAAAGTAGGGCAAGCTGATGGGTTCTGTCTCAGCCATTTGAAATGTCCTGTTCTAAGTTTTTCATCTATAATTTGCCACAGATGACTCAAGCAGTTTTATGGATTTTCAGGAGTCTACTAGGAATAAGGGAGAGTATCTTGGGTTCCAAGTGGCCCTTTTCAACTTTAGGTCAATCCCCAAAAGCCACTGAAGAAGGGGTTTGTCTTTGAATGGGTTTCAGTGTGCTGGGCTGGGCTGAAGTTACATGGACAAAGACCAATGCTGGCAGTGGATGTGCCCTGGGAACTCCATTTGTCTACACCTGAATCCCCCAAAGGGCTCTAGTCTCCTGTAGGTCATTTGAGACAGCTGCCAGTCCAGGGAATTACTTTAGATGCCCTGGGCCACTGGAGGTGGCACTGGTTGTGGTATGGTCTGACAGCAAAGCTCTGCCTGATTACCCAGTATATTTCCACATTACTTAACGAAGAAAAAGCAAGTACTCATCATCTTAGATGACTCAATCCCCCAGTAAAAATGTCACACAGTATAGATTCTATCATGGAGAAATGTAAATTTCAGGATCTATGGTCATTGTAGGGACACCAGACAGGGTCACCTCACCAGCATCATCCAAGCCATGGCCTGATGCTGGCCTTGCAGCTTCTTGGCTAGACACCAAACATGATGTTTTCCAGGATGTGCTGAAGAAATTGATGGACCTTCAGCAGCTATAGACTCTGTCTTTTCTTCCATCAGCACACTTCTATCAGCTGAAATGATGGAACATTTCTGATATAATGTTCTGTTTTTCCCATAAGATCAGAATATTATTTTTTTATAGCGTGTGTATTACAGGAGGAGAAAAAGTACTCATCTTCCCCTGTACCTGCATTGCCAGAACTCTGTCTCTTATGCACTGCACTCATCTCCCCAGTCTTTAAGCAGTCCATACTGGAAGACACCTTTCTGGCAGGATGTCTGGACATGTGCGGGTCTCCATTTTTCTCCAGATTCCCATCTGGCTGCGATACAACAGAAGAGTGTCAAAATGCCACAAGGTGCTGCTTGGAAGGTGAAGAGTGGGCATGAGGAGAAGGACATGACAGGGTATTGCTGTGGTGCCAGAGGTAACCCCTATGGAGTCTGTCGTCAGCCCATGCCATCGTGTTTCAAAGGAACTGCCAGGGAGGGTGGGCAGACATCCGTGAATGAAGTAAGGAAATTATGTGAGGATAGGTGGAGAAGCAAGGTGGGTGCCTACAGTTCTGCAGGGAAAAGGGGGCAGGGATAGGACCGTGCAGGGACAGACTGTGGTGGAGAAGACCAAGAGCACTGGCAAGGCTGGAAGGCCCCAGCAAGCACCATGGTCTTTGTCCCCTTGGCTATGGCAGTTGTCTCTGCTACTGAGGATCACGAGGACAAATGCTGTGTTCATGACACTGGGGCCTTGTTGCCTCCTTGCAACCCAGTGGGGAGGCCAGCAGGTGTCATAGCATTTTCCTTCACACAGCATCACACACCCCACATCCCACTGCCCCAGGAAGAGCCTTGAGCCATGGGTGTGGGACAGGACCTTCCTGCCCAGGGGCTGGGGCCTTTTCTGTTTCACCAAACAAACCAAGGCCTTTACTCGGCATCAGAGTCTCCTGCCCAGTGCCTTTGTCTACCTGCACTCATGGCTCCCAATTGTCTGTTCTAAACAAGTCCATGGGGAGGCCTTGCCAGTAATGACCCTCCCTGGGGCCCATTAATACTCTCAGACACTTCAAAATCTCCTTCTGACTTAAACTTCTGCAGTTACATCATTCTTTTCTCACTACCTGAGGTTTATGGACTCAGCACCAAATGCAGCATGGGGCTCATTACAATTCAGCCATTTTCATCCAGTCTTCCAGACTTGTACAGTTAATTAGTGAGGTTTCAAGAATGCAGTTTAAAGAGAAAGTTTTCAATGACCAGATTTCTAAGAGCATTTTCCTTATTTAAGATTATTTTCCATTAGTTTAGAGTTTTCAGAAGAACTGCTAGCATCATTCTCTAGTTGTCATGGATTCAATGTGCCTCCTAAGGAGGTCTGTATAGGTGGAAAAGCAATCCCTTGAAGTCCTAGACTGTATGGACAACCTTGCTGCTCAGCTCTCCAAACCCCACCACTTCTCTCTTTAGCCACCTGGGACTTGCATCATTTTTCCTTACACGAGACTTCTCCACTGACGTCCACAGAAGGGTGTTACAACACCTTTTCACCAAGACCCACCTCCTTTCCTCAGACAACTGGCTCCACACAGGCACAGTTTTTGATGTTGTTGTTATTAACATTTAACAACAAACAAGAAAAACCCACAGTCCCCAACTGTGAGCCAACTCCAAGTTGCCTCCGATGAGGTGCACCTTCCACAAGGGATGACTATACAAGAAATGTTTGACATGGGTAGGAAATGGGTATTGGGATGATGAGATAGAAAGTGAAATATGGGCAAGGTTCAAGATCCCCCAAGTTCTGAGAACCAACTATGCAGGTGAGAGGTATCTGAATGATCAAAGAGTGAGGGGAGGGAATCTGGAGAAGAATGGGAACTCCACATGTCCAGACAGTCTGCTGGAAAAGTGACTTCCAACATGGTCTGTTTCATAAAGCCAGGTGTAAATACCAGAAAGACTAAGGAGATGAAGTGCAGAGCATAAGAGACAGAGTTCTGGCAATGCAAGTACGGGGAAGACTGGTATTTTTTCTCTTGCTGTAATAAACATCCAAGGGAAAAAAAATGTTATGGGACAACACAACATTGTATTAGAAGTGTTCAATCATTCAGCTGATTGAAGTGTGCTGATTGAAGTGAAATCTTTGAAATGCTTAAAAAATTGGAGGCAGTGGGCCTACAGCCCAGCTCAGGTCTTCAGCCCAACTACAGCCTAAAATGATGATTTTCTGTCCTGCATGGAGCCCAGTTACCATAAAACCCTCCCTGCCTTGGAGTTTTCATGCCACCCCTCACTCCTGGCACAGAGCAAATCTGTGACATGTTGACCTGTCCTGCCTGTTAGAGGCCCAGATGATGTAGGCAATGGTATCTGATATACCAAATGCGGGTACAGATATTGCAAACTAGGCATCAATGGAGGAAGATGTGATTGGTGAGAACTGATAAATGAGCAGGGGAATCATGTAAGAAAGGAAGGGATTAACGTGTTTGAGGAGGATCCTGTGGAAGAGGAGGGGAGAGGGATGCAAGGGGCCAGCTGCGTGTGGATATGGAGCTGGTCAGGGCTGGTCATGTCAGGCCCTGCGTCTGATCACTGTCCTACCCTCTCATTCAACTCTGTTGCTGGCTATTTGCTGTGTGTGTGCTCACTCCTGGGTGTGTTGGGGGTGAATCATACAATCATGGAACCACATAGCCCTGTGTGCGTCTGCACCCATGGGTAATTGCTGCTGGGGATGTGTGGAGCACTGGTGACCTTCAGAGCAGAGCAGGCTGAGGTGTGGAAGGGGATGAGGCCAGGTGTGTTGCTCATGGCGGTGTGTTTCCTGCTGGTGGTGTGGTGGCTGTGAAGGTGCTGTTCCCTGTTGGAGTTGGTCTGAGTGTGGTCGGCTGTGTCCATGCCCTGTGTGCACATCTGTGTATTTATGAGAGTGTGTGTTTGTGCATGCACTTGTGTGTAGTTGCCTGTGTAAATGAGAGTATTGGAAATTCTGAGAGAATTTCTCCGGCTTCCTGATGAAAGAAGAAGCTGGGCTTTGCTGGATCTTAGGACTGAGAGACATTTTTTGCAGCTCCCACAGATACAGAGGTGGTGAAAGGAGTGCTAGCATGTTATCAATATGCTCCCTTTTCCTGTGGAGCATACAAAGGCATCCAGCCATGGACAGGCCCAAGGAGAGGGCTCATACTTCCTCTGCTCACAAATGCATTTCAGTCCTTGGGATGGACCCAAGATGAGGACTTGCTGATGACTCTTGGGCTGAGGTTCAACACACAGATTGGAGAAGACTGTCTGATGGACATGTGCTGGACACAGCCAGAGGAACAGCAGCAATCTGTTGCAGCTGCTGGGCCATGTTTCCATCAGTCGTAGCCCTGACACAGGGCACAGGCATTGCTTTTGATGCCACCCAACTGGAAAGATGGTTGCATTAAGGGCTGGAGAATATAGGGCACCAACCAGTTCTTCCTCAGACACTTCCTAGGCTTGGCAAAGCACCAGGAAACCATGGACTTCTGCATAATAAGAAGCACAGAATCTTAGAATTATTAAGGTTGCAAAAGACCTCCAAGATCTTCTGGTCCAACCATCCCCCTACCACCAATATCACCCACTAAGCCATGTCCCTAAGTACTACATCCAACCTTTTCCTCTGCACAGCTTTCAAGCCAGTCTGCCCCAAGCCTGTAGCATTGCATGGAGTTGTTGTGAGCAAAGGGCAGGACACAGCACTTAGCCATGGTGAACCTCATCCCACTGACCTCTGCCCATCAATCCAGCCTGTCCAGGTCCCTCTACTGGGCCTTCCTACCCTCTGGCAGATCGACACTTCCCTCCACCTTGGTGTCACCTGCAAACTTACTGAGGCTGCACTCAATTCCCACATCCAAATCATCCATAAAGATATTAAAGAAGATGGGTCCCAACACCATCCCTTGGGGAACACCACTGGTGACTGCTCGCCAGCTGGATTTCACTTTGTTCACCACTATTCTCTGGGCCCGGCCACCCAGCCAGTTTTTAACCCAGCAAAGCGTGTACCTGTCCAAGCCATGGGCTGCCAGCTTCTCCAGGAGAATACTGTGGGAGACCATGGCAAAGGCCTTGCTGAAGTCTAGGTAGACTATGTCAACAGGCTTTCTCTCATCCCCCAGGCACGTCACTGGTCATAGGAGATGAGGTTGGTCAGGCAGGACTTGCCTTTCTTGAACCCATACTGCCTGGGTCTGATTCCCCGGTGGTCTCACATATGCTGCATGATTGCATTCAAGATGACCTGTCCCATCACCTTTCCTGGCATCGAGGTCAGGCTGACAGGCCTGTAGTTCCCTGGGTCCTCCTTATGACCCTTCTTAAAGATGGGCAAGTCACTACTCAACCACGACCTCTTTGCAGGACCATGATCACTGACAGATGATGGAAAGTGTCTGATAGGTGATGGAAAGTGACACAAGCTTCTGGAAAGCTTGGCAAAAACCTTGAAGAAACAGCCAAGCCTTCAGACAGTGCATTGTGGAGATCCCATTTTATTTTGCAGATCCTATGTAAGAGTCAGTTCTGACCTTCTGTTGGACTCATATCTGTAGAGCCTCAAGAGCAAACAGAGAAGTGTCAATCCCCAGCAGGAGTAGGGTGAAAAAGAGATATTACTCTAAGAGCGCAATAAATCAAATGATACCAAAGAGAATAATAACAATATTGACAATGAAAGATGGACCAGGCCTGAGGGGAGGTACCAAATTAAGTCATTTCTGGAAAAAGAGGGGAAATTTGTCACTATTCAGAAACATCCATGAAGTCACTTTCCTAATAGCCCACTTGAGCTCCCTGTTTCTCATGCTGTAGATGAGGGGATTCAATGTTGGAGGCATCACTGAGTACAGAACTGCCATCACCAGGTTTAGGGATGGAGAGGAGATGGAGGGGGGCTTCAGGTAGGCAAAGAAGCAGGTGCTGATAAACAGGGAGACCACAAACAGGTGAGGGAGGCATGTGGAAAAGGCTTTGTGTCGCCCCTGCTCTGAGGGCATCCGCAGCACAGCCCTGAAGATCTGAACATAAGAAAAAAGAATGAAAACAAAGCACACGGACGTTAACCAGACACCAATCACAAGCACCCAAAAACTCCTCAGGTAGGAGCGTGAGCAGGAGATCTTCAGGATCTGGGGGATCTCACAGAAGAACTGGTCCAGGGTATTTCCTCTGCAGAGGGGCAGGGAAAATGTATTGGCTGTGTGCAGCAGAGCATAGAGAGCCCCACTGCCCCAGGCAGCTGCTGCCATCTGGGCACAAGCTCTGCTGCCCAGGAGGCTCCCATAGTGCAGGGGCTTGCAGATGGCAACATAGCGGTCATAGGACATGACGGTGAGAATAAAATACTCTGCTGATATCAGAAAGGAAAAAAGAAAGACCTGTGAAACACATGCCGAGTAGGAAATGGCCCTGGTGTCCCAGAGGGAATTGGCCATGGCTTTGGGGACAGTGGTGGAGATGCAGCCCAGGTCGAGGAGGGTGAGGTTGAGGAGGAAGAAGTACATGGGGGTGTGGAGGCGGTGGTCGCAGGCTATGGCAGTGAGGATGAGGCCGTTGCCCAGGAGGGCAGCCAGGTAGATGCCCAGGAAGAGCGCGAAGTGCAGGAGCTGCAGCTCCCACGTGTCTGCGAATGCCGGGAGGAGGAACTCAGTGATGGAGCTGCTGTTGGACATCTGATGCCTCTTGGACTCAGGGTCTCCTGGAAAAAGGGGAATACCCAAGGATGAAAAGACAGTGATCATTAGGAGATAAAACCTAATTCTCTTCCCATCCAAACACCCCTACAGTGACTTTCCCCTTTCTGAGGCGTTTCTGTTGCTCCCTTGCTTGAGGTCTGGTTGGTGCTGGAGGAATGTGGCCCTGGGAGCAGCGGTCTCTGCTGTGTGTGCTGGAGGATTCAGATCTGTCCTACAGCTTTACACAAAAAGAAACCGGAGTGATCTCTGATTAAATCTCTCTCTGATGTATTGGACTTCACAGTGTTACCACTCTCAACACTCTTTACTGATGTACTTGTGATTTACTTTGTTCTATCTGCATCACACTCAGGAGCATTTTTAGAGGGTAGAAAACCCTGGCAGTTGTAACAAATACCAGGTGAGCTCTTGTGAGTCCCGGAAGGCAAAGTGACTGTCCTTAGTGCAGTGAGGATAGCCAGTCTGTCCATCTACCCTGGTCTCAGCCAGACTCCTCTAGGGCTCAGTCACGTTACTCACATCAAACTGCTCAATGATTGTGGCCTCAGAAAGTCCCTGGAAGGAGATACAACTTTGTCCCTGCCCCACAGACTGCAATGCCGAGATTCCCACAGGTTAGAAGGTGAACTCTGGGTATCTTCCTCCTACGGACACATCTGTGTGGTGGGACCCAGAGGGTCAGTGCATGAGCTGCAACTAAAAGCCCCATCTCCCCATCTGCAGGGAGCCATAAAGCAAGAACAGCAGCTGCAGCTCCAAGAAGAGAGAGGAATGGCACAGGGCTTCTGCCAGGGGAGGCAAGGCCAGGGAGCAACAGGAACTCAGAAGGGCCCGCTGTGAGGGAGGTCCTGCTACAGAGGTTATGAGTCACATCCTGAATCCTGTGGGCTAGAGGGCAGACAGAGAGGTGCCAGACTGCTCTGTTAGCCATTCCCTGCCTATGGCTGTGCTGCCTGCAGCTGTCCCTGCCTGCAGCGGGGTCTCTGTCCCCACGCCTCCTGCCTGCAGCTCACAGCCCCCATCCCACCCGCTGGGTGCTCAGCTCTGCCCTGCAGACACCTCCTGGCAGCAGGGCTCTGCCCAGGGGCAGCTCGCTGGGAGCACGTCCTAGAGACCAGGTCACACAGACCCTGCTGACACTGTGCAAGGGGTGGTGGAGATTTCTGGATAGGGATTTACTGGGGGTCCTTGTAACCTCCTTAGGATGCCTTAGGACTGTCAGGCTTTTCTAGAAAATAACATCATATATTTCTGTTTCTACTGAACCTAAAACAGAAACTGAAAGGAGAGGCTAAAGAAAGATGAGAGTGAAATTCTCTTGGTATTCTGTGGAGCTGTGAGCAGGCTGCTGAAGGGAGCAGCCTCCCGCCAGCAGCAGGACCCTGCCCTGCCTGGGGGGCTCCTTCCACCCACAGCTTCTCCCCACAGCGCCCTGGGCAGCTCCCCGGGCAGGCTGAGTGCTGAGCCTGGCAGGCGGCAGAGGCCCTGCCCCGCCACACAGCCCCTGGGGCACAGCAGGGACCCTGCTCTGCACCACAGCCCTGGACACCCCTGCCTGCACCCCCGCCTTCACAGCCTGCAGATGGCCTGCAAATAGGGAGCCGTTGGGACTTGGACATTGACCCTGCAGGGAACCCATCCTCTGGTGATTGTGCTTCTCCACACTAAAGGAAAAACAAGTGTATCCGGCCTGATCTGTGGTAAATTCTGGCTATGGGAAAACCCTCCATGATACACCTGTGAATTGCGCTATAGAAAGAGACTTACCGTGTTATGTACTAAGAAGATTTTTCCTCCTCTGAGCTCTCAGCATACACATATTCCACTCAGCCCATAACTTCTTTCTCCTTTCTCTCCTCTCCCACTGCCACCTGCAGTCAGAGCTCCCAGCCCTGCTGCGTAATGCAGAGGAGCTGCTCCTGGGCAGAGCTGTCTCTCTGCAGCGCTGCCCGCTTGCCAGGAGCTCCCCTTGGGCCCAGGAGCCCGGCCCAGCTCAGCAGCAGAGGCCCAGCCCAAGGCCTCCCTTGCTCTGCCCCCCACCAGGCTCCCTGCACATGGCCCTGGGGCTGCAGGGGAAGCTGCTGAGAAACAGCCTGAAGGGATCCCTGGGCTTCCCTCCCTCCCCTGGGCACACACAATTCTTCACAGGAGAATCACCTCTCCTAAAATAAAAATAAATTTAATAAAATCTGTATAAGATTCACCTTCCTTTGTCCTGTCCATGGAATTGGCAGTACGCTGGGGGAGCCCTTGTGGGTGAAGGTCACAGGAGAGCCAGTCAGGGGCACAGCGTGATCGTGCTGAATTGGTGCAGATTCTTCAGAAGAGACAATTGGGAATGATCATCGAGAGGTTGCTCCACATGAAGAATTTGTCTGGATGCATGGATCTCTTCTATGGACTGGGCAGCAGACTGGGGGAGCCCTTATGGTTTAGGGACAAAAGCCAGTCAGGGTCAGGAGGTAAATGTCTGCAGCCAGGCTGAAGAAGTGGTTAAAGTCTTGTGGAAGCCACTGGAGTAAGTTGAGTTCAATGACTCCATGTCACTGTGGGGGACTTTAATCACTCTGCCAACCACAGGAAAGGGACACTGCTGGGTTCAAACATTCCCCATGGTTTCTATGGGTTCTTGGAGAGAGCTTCTGTGCACGGCTGCCAGATGGGCCAACCTAGGTGATGTTCACCAGGATCTGGCACTTGCAAGCAGGGAAACCTGTGTCTTGACACTCCTCTTGCACAAGGCATGTTGTAGTCCAGCTGCTTTTCAGCACATGGAAAGAGATGAGCTTTCACAGACTGTCATGGTTTAACCCGGCCGGCAGCTAAACACCAAGCAGCCGTTCGCTCACCCTCCCCCCTCCCTCTATGGGACGGGGGAGAGAAATGGAAAGTGAAGCCCGTGAGTTGAGATAAAGACAGTTTAATAAGACAGGAAAATAATAATAACAAAATAATAATAACATTAATAACAATAATAATACAATGGTGATGTTAGGGAAATAATAATAATATGTACAAACAAGTGATGCACAATGCAATTGCTCACCACTCGCTGACCGATGCCCAGCCTAACCCCGATCAGTCCGGCCCCCTCCCCCCGGCTAGCCACCCCTATATATTGTTTAGCATGACGTCAGAGGGTATGGAATACTCCTTTGGCTAGTTTGGGTCACCTGTCCCGGGTCTGTCCCCTCCCAGCTCTTACTGCACCCCCAGCCTGCCCATTGGCAGGACAGAGCAAAAGGCTGAGATGTCCTTGGCTTAGTATAAGCACTGCTCTGCAACAATTAAAGCATCGGGGTGTTATCAGCACTCTTCTCATCCTAAGCCAAAACACAGCATTCCACCAGCTACTAGGAAGAAAATTAATTCTGTTCTAACTGAAACCAGGACACAGACAGACCTATACCCAGCACTACACATGCTCACTCTTGTCTTTCCCTGCAGCCCACTTGACATGGATCAGCTGACACGGGACAAGGTACATCTGTGTGCAGTACGGTCAAGGGCTGTAGTCCTGCCTTCAGCATGCCACAGGTCTCCTGAAATGAGAGAGTTTAGATCCTAAATCAGGATGGCTTCCTCCTCCACTGTGGACACACAGACACAAGTGGTCTCCTGCAGGCAGATCTGGCAGCCCAGCTGCAAGGGGCAGGCTGCCCCCCCACCTCAGCCTCTTCTGTGGTCTCCACCTCCTCTGAAGGCCCAAAGCCGTGGGCCATGGAGAAGCTGTGGCAACCTACAGGAGAGCATGGCATCCATCCTAGACCATTCTCCCCACTCCCCTTTTTGTCTGCAGCGCTGCCCTACTCCTCTCTCTCATCATGAAATGGTGAGGGTACGTCTGCCCTTGCCTCGTGTACCACCTCTGCCTCCTGCATGGCAGACTGGGGGATGGTGCTGAGGCCCTGGCATGTACTCCAATTCACTCTGTAAAACCCATCCTTCTTTCAGAAGTGAGTTCTATGCAGTGAAGAGTTCAGGCACACCGAGGGGCTGTTCCATCCCAGGTGCCTTCGCTCCCATCTTTTGAAAAATCCAAGCCCCAGGACAAGCTTCAAACCCAACCAGTGTGGGAGGGCTCCCAACAGCAGAAGCATGTTGGTATAAGGGGGCAGTAGTGGTATCTCCAGGGCTCCACTTCCTTTACTCCATGGCCTTTGTCACCATTTGGAGATGTCCCTGATCCGTTCCTGATCCTGAAAAGTACTGGGTAGAAGGGAGGTGACTGTTTCTCAGGACAAGAAGGGAAATCTCTCATGTCTGTCCTGAGCTGTGCCATCTCCATGCTGCTGACCTCACAGGACTTCAAATGTCACAGGCTGATGTCACAGGGGGATGCCCCGCATCACCAGGATATCGTCACTGGAGCAGCGGCAGTGCCGACACTTCCCTGCAAGGCCTGGTCCCTGCTGGGCACTGCTTGGGTGCTCCCCAACTCTGTCCTTCTGTGGCCAGGAGTGGGGTCAGCAATCAGCAAGCTTGCACTGGGCGACCCTCGCTGACGGGCGGAGAAGCAGGGGCACCTTGCAGAGGAGCTGTGGTTGAGGAGCCAAGGCGGGCATCCCTTGTCCTGAGCTGAGGGCCAGCAGTAAGTGAGATGGAGGGCTGCTGGTGGGTGACCATCACCTCTGTCCTGACTTCCCTGTTCCCAGTGCTCCTGCAGCTCTCCCCCAAAGGCAAGGGTGTCAGGAGCCCCTTTCCAAGATGTGTCAAAGGGGCTGTCAGCTGTCCAAAGCTGCAATTCCTGGGCGTTGGGGGGAGGCTGGAAAAGGCCGTTGGCTGCTGTGAAAGCCCTGCATGAATGTTCTTCTGAGCTCAGGAGACAATATGGTGGCAAGGACTCCTGGGTCCTGATGGTAGGGATGCCCTTATCCCTAGGCCTTCTCTAGGCATGCGTTCTTGCTATGGGGGACAATCCAGGGCCAGCTGCCCCTGGAAGCTGACGCCTCTCTGGGATGTGACTCTGGGAGGAAAAACATTATAGAATCACAGAATGGCCTGGGTTGAAAAGGACCTTAAAGATCATCTAGTTTCAACCCCCCTGCTCTGAGCAGGGTTGCCAACCACTAGAGCAGGATGCCCAGAGCTGCATCCAGGTGGCCTTGAATGCCTCCAGGAATGGGGCATCCACAACCTCTCTGGGCAACATGTTCCAGTGCCTCAACACCCTCTGAGGGAAAAAAGCTCTCCTAATTTCTAGTCTAAACCTCCCCTGTCTTACTTTAAAACCATTCCTCCTTGTTCAATCACTACCAACACATATGAACAGGCCTTTCCCCCTCCTGTTTATACACTCCTTTCAAGTACTGGAAGGCTGCAATGAGGTCTTGGCGGAGCCTTCTCTTCTCCAAGCTAAACAAGACCAGTTCCCTCAACCTTTCTGCAGAGGAGAGGTGCTCCAGCCCTCTGATTATCTGTGTGTCCCTCCTCTGGATCCCTTCCAAGAGCTCCACATCCTCCTTGTGCTGGGGGCCTATGGCTTGTATGCAGTATTCCAGGTGAGGTCTCACAAGAACAGAGTAGAGAGGTACAGTCACCTCCCTCTCCCTCCTGGCCACTCCTTTTTAAAGCAGCTCAGGACACAGTTGGCCTCCCAGGCAACAAGCCCACACTGCTGGCTCATGTGCAGCTTCTCGTCCAGCAGGACCCACAAGTCATTCTCAAGTTCTTCTTTGCCCAGTCTATATAAAGACCTGGGATTGCCCAAGTCCAAATGCAACACCTTGCACTTGGCCTTGTTGAACCTCATTGGGTTCTCATGGTGCTCAGTACTCCAGTCTGTCCAGGTCCCTCTGGATGGCATCCCTTCCCTCTATTGTATCGAATGCACCGCTCAGCTTAGTGACATCTGTAAACTTGCTGAGGATGCACTCGATTTCATCACCTATGTCATTGATAAAGATGTTGAAGAGCACCAGCTCCAAGACCGACCAATGAGGGACACCACTTGTGACCAGCCTCCACCCAGACATAGAACTATTGACCACAACACTTTGGCTACGACCAGCCAACCAATTCTTGATCCACCTAACAGTCCATCCTTCAAATCCATTCCTCTCCAATTTAGAGAGACGAATGTGGTGAGGGACCATATCAAAAGCTTTGCTCAAGTCCAGGTAGATGATATTCGTAGCCCTTCCTTTGTCCACTGATGACATCGCTACATCATAGAAGGCCACCAGATTGGTTAGGCAAGATCTGCCTTTGGTGAAGCCATACTGGCTGTCTCGAATCACCTCTTTATCTCATGCATGCCTTCAGATGTGTTCCAGGAGGGACTGCTCTGTGATCATCTCAGGCACAGAGGTGAGGATCACCAGCCTGTAGTTCCCCAGCTCTTCTGTTTTCCCTTTCTTAAAAATGGGAGTCATGTTTCCCTTTTTCCAGTCACTGGGGGCTTCACCCGACAGCATCATTTTTCGAATACGATGGAGAGCGGCTCAGCAAGCATATCAGCCATCTCTCTCAGCACCCTGGGATGTATACCCTCTGGCCCCATGGACCTGTACGCATCCAGTTTCATTAGGCAGTCCCGGACTTGTTCCACTGTCACAGTGGGACAGAATCCGCTCCTCTCACCCTCTCCTCGAGGTTCAGGGTCCTGAGAGACACAGGAAACTTGACCACAAGTGAAGACTGAGGCAAAGCACTTACTGAGTACCTCAGCTTTTTCCATGTCTGAGGAAGCCAGTTCTCCCATCTCGTTTATCAGAGGGGGAACACTCTCCTCGGCCCGTCTCCTTCTGCCTATGTATCTGTAGAACCCCTTGTTATTCTTCATGTCCCTTGCCAAGTTCAGCTCCATCTGTACCTTGGCTTTCCTGATCCCATCTCCACACCTCCGGATGACACCCCT